GAAATGCAAATTCTTGGGCCCTATCCTACCAGCTCGTGATGTCCAAGGGATGAGGCTGGCAGTATGTTTCTGATGCACGCTGGAATTTGAGAACCACTGGGTCATATTCCTTCATTCACTCACTGATTTTTATTAAAACTCATGTTATGTCAGGCCCACCTATCTAGACCATGGGAATGTGCTGGTGAACAAGACAAAACACAGTCCCTGGCCTCATGGTGCTCAGATTCGAGGGAGATTCAGATTACCACGATTAAGTTGGTGATTTCTCTCTGTCTCTCTCACTCACTCATCAAAAAAAGTTAACAAAAAAAATTTTCTTTTTCTTTTTCGTGTTTTTTTTTTTGTTTGCTTGTTTTTTGTTTTTTGTTTTTGCAATAGGGCACATGTGCTCACCAGTCGGAGAGAGGGAAAGTGAGAAATCACCCCCAAAGGGGGATAACCACACCACAAGCCCTTCTCCTCCATTCTCCTCTAGGAACTTTGGACATGCATATACACATGCCCAGCATCATTTTCAAGGTGCCAGGTCTTGAATTCAAACCATGGCCAGCCATATGGAAGTCCAGTGCCTCAACCGTCATGCCACCTGCTGGCCTCAAAAGAAACAAAATTTTTAAGTTTTTTTTTGTTTGTTTTTTTTTTTTTTTTCTGTTACTGATTCATAACTACCACTTTAGGGGGAAAAATGAAATAATTAAGGCAGCTTGAGTTTCCAAACGTGCGCACGTTTGGAAAAGAAAGTGAGAAATTATCCCCCTCGAGGGGATGACCATGCCACAATCCCTTCTCCTCCATTCTCCTCTTAGGATTTTGGGTGTGCATGCGCATGCAACCAGCATGCTTGAAGCCGCTGCGTCCAGCACTTGAATCACGTCGACCATGTGGAAGTCCAGAATCGTAACCACTATGCCATCTGCTGGTCCCAAGAAAAAAAAATTAAGTCTTTTTTAGCAGTGCTATAACAGAGTGACAGGCTGTCTGGCCAGTGACCTAGCAAAGACTTGGAAGACAGTAAACAAAAGCCTGGAAAAGTGTTACTGGCTGAGGAAACAGCATTATAAAGGCCTCAAAGTGGGGAAGAGCTGATGTGGTCAAGGAACAAAAGAGCAATATGGCTGAACTGCCCTGAAAGGAGGAGATGGTAGGAAATGGGCTTGACTACATAGGGACTTGTAGAAGGATAGAGTTTGTCAGCCACATGCAAATTCTTCTGAAATCTTAATAGCTTTAAAACCACTTAAGCTGCTTGGGACTGGCAGGTGGCGTGGTGATTAAGGGCACTGAATTCCCACATGACAGACTGTGGTTCGAGTCCCAGACCCGGCGGCTTGCTTTCTCACCTTCTCTTTCTCTCTTTGTCCCTCTCTGATCAAATTAAAACAAATAAGTAAAGTTAAATAAAATTCTAAAAAATAAATTCTAAAAAATAACAACACTTAAGCTGCTCTATGGAGAATAGATTAAGGCAGGCAAGAGTTTGAGTAGCAAAGTGGTGATAAGAAGCCTAAGAGGTGGACAGATGCCTCATCGGACAGGGACTCAAGGGATTTAGGTGTTTAGGCCCCAAAACGGATTTGGCCTTTTACCTAATCCTGAAGGTGGTAGAGAATCATTAAAGTTTTCAACATCAGATTCTCTGGAGCAGCTGATCCTCACCTTTGTGGGAGAGTGTGCACTAAATGCCAGTTTAAACATGCTGAAATAGAATCCTATTTCCCAGCCTGAGAGCTGGTTCTCTCAAGGGCCTCAAGGCTCTTCAAGGAGAATCACAGTATGAGTGCAATTGATTACAAGGCTACTAGGAAACCCCAGTTACAGAGAAACTCTGTAGTTTATTTTTTGTCCTTATTTTTTTTCTTCTTCTTTTTCTTTCTTCTCTTCTTCCTCTTCCCTTTTTTTTGGGGGGGGGGAGGTTTTTTTGCTATAGGATATGTGCGCTCACCAGACAGACAGAGAGAGACAGAGAGAAAGAAAGTGAGAAATCACCCCCGCAGAGGGGATGGCCACGCCTTAATCCCTTCTCCTCTGTTCTCCTCTCAGGATCTTGGGCACACATGCACACACGCCTGGCATGAGTTTTAAGCCACTGGGTCTGGGACGCGAACCGCGGTCAACTACATGGGAGTCCAACGACATAACCATTACGCTAACTGCTGGTCCCTTCCTCTTCTTTTATTGAGACAGGGTCTTGGTCTGTTGCCCAGGCTGGCTTGCACATGCAATCCTCATGCCTCAGCCTTTCAAACAACTGGGATTATAGGCATATACCCCTGTGCCCACCATTTTTTTTTCCTTACACAATGTCCCAGGCTTCTGTTTGTTCCTCAGTACTGAATTTGAATAGCCTTAATTCTATTTTGCTTTAAAGTCTAGAGATTTCATAAATTTAACACCCAATCTCCAAAACAAAACAAGAAAAATACTTTCCGATCACGTCTACCAACCTATTTCCAGTAAAATTGAATACAATGGAAGTCTAATGGGTTGTAATGAAGTCCCAATGGAGGCTTCAGTGAACCTATGTGGAGCTGTAAAGCTACCTTCAGAGTGATCCTAAGTTGTCAGGAAAGACAGGACAGAGAAAAAGGGGCCTTTATTTAAAGCTCCATGTCAATCAGTCATTGGAAGTGGGCTACCTAGACGAGGAACAGGACCTTGAGGGAGACAGTTCTCTTGTCAGTTCCACCCCCCAGGAGGGATGAGAACCAAGAACTGTCTGTGGGCGACATTCCCAGCAGCTGGGAAAGGATCTCCTTTATGCCTAAGGGAGATCTGGGCAGCACATCACACCATCCACCCTGAGAAAGACTTTAGACATCACTTACTCTGAGCCCTTATTTTATGGTGTTAGAATTTGAGGTCCCAGAAGGTAAGTGGTTTATATTTAGGATCTAGGGATTCTCATGCCCACAGTAATACACTTTCCACTATATCATGCTATTATGGCTTAAAAATATTAGAGATACATTTAAAATGTGTTGTCTGAATAATGATGGTTGCTTGGAAGAATTATTAAACTAAAAACAAACAAACCAGAAAATGTCATTTTCTTTTTGAGTTAGGAGGGAGGAAATAGGGTTGGATTCCAGTTGCAAAAATTAAAACTGCTTGCTCCAAGTACTTTGTTATTCATGTAGTTCAAGATCTTGTTTGAAGGACCAGCAGTTAGCGTAATGGCTATGTCGCTGGACTCCCATGTAGTCGACCGCAGTTCAAGTCCTGGACCCGGTGGCTTAAACTCACGCCGGGTGCATGTGCGTGTGTGCCCAAGATCCCGAGAGGAGAATGGAGGAGAAGGGATTGCAGTGTGGCCATCCCCCCGGGGGGTGATTTCTTGCTTTCTGTCTCTCTGGCTCTCTCTGTCTGGTGAGCGTATGTGCCTTATAGCAAAAAAAAAAAAAAGATCTTATTTGATATTGAGGTCAACATTAAAAAACAGGATGTAAGAATCCCCTATCTTCTCCCGTAGCAGCAAGTGCTGACCTTTGAGGCACATTTATAGCCCTGCAGAGATATTGAATTCCTGTATATAAAGTGAGAAAGATCATAAATGGATCCTTTATAATAGCAGTCAGGTGCCCAAATTTTTATGAAGAGAAAAAAAATACAGAAATTATATGCATAGCTGCTCTGGGATAATTTTCACTCAGAAATTGTTCCACTGACAGTAGCTATCATTCATGTTTTTTACCATGGATCCAGCATAAAGGATGCAAAGAGGGAGGGCTTAGTGAGTCTGATTCACCTGCTGTGTAATAAGGGAATATCCCTCCTC